TATTATGAGGGAATGGGGTTTAAAAAAAATGTTTTTTTAGACGCCATTCCCTCATAATAAAAACCACTTTCTTTTCTAGATAAGAATAATTAAAACAGATATTTTAAAAAACATTTTTTAATTTTATTTTCTCTAGTGCAACCTTAACTAGAGAGGTTTAACAAAAAACTTTAAAAAAAAAACGATAAATTTTCGATGTTTAAATTTAAGGAGCCGATATTAACAGTACCGCTGTTTTAGTTGGCACAGTTCTTATTAGAAAAAACTTTGAAATATTTCTTTTCAAATAAATGCATAAAATTAAAAAATGTTATCATTACATATTTTTGTCTAGTATTTATTAAATTATTAACAAAATAAATTTTCATAATAATAAAAAAAAATTACGTTATTATCCACTCGAAATGATGATGGTCTCCAAAGACCTTAAAGTCAGTTGTCAGCTGCATCAATTCCAAATAGAATGCTAGGGCGACTCAAAAAAACATTTCGGAGTCGCATTTTTTATTTATGGTGCACATTGTATCTTATTTACATTCGCCCCCACCTCAAGTTTGCTGTTCAAGCTGCATTTAAAGTCCAACATTGCTATCCTTGAACAAGTCCAACATCTAGCAACAAAAACAATATCATCTATTAAACACCTGTCCTATGAAAATTGACTCCATCTATCCATGTTTTCAAAAACAGTATAACAAAGTAACTTTTATAGACACAATTGCTGCTTTGTCTGTAGCTTCTGTGTTTTTTATTTTCGTCAGCAAAGAGGGCCCCTCTTTGCTGACGAAAATAAAATACTGGTTAAGCACCTCTTCGTCAAACTTTAAACGGACTTATTGTATTTGTTTTTTTTTTTATCACTGAATAATAATAATAATAATAAATTATTTTCAATATCTCATTATATAGAGTTTTATAACTTGTAGCATCTGTTTGTCAGGGATTAAGTTGTATTTTACCATTTTTTTGTTTTTTGATGTGAGATATAAAACAAGAGGTTGAATAAGTTTCATAAGTGCGAACTGACATAAGTGCGAAGCAATTGCAAAAACTCGCATCAGTGTGAACTGGCATAAGTGCGCCAAAATAGTTTGTAAATAATTGCATAAGTGCAAACTTGCATAAGTACGAAGTAAGTGTAAACTGTCTGTAACTGAACTATGAAAATAAACAGTGTAAACTGGCGAAGCAATTGCGGTCATTGGCATAATTGCAAATTGTCATAATTGCAAACTGGCATTAGTGCAAAACAATTACAAAAACTCGCAAAAGTGCGAACTGCCATAAATACGAATAGGCATAAGTGCGCAAAAAGAATATGCAAACAATTGCATAAGTGCAAACTGGCATATGTGCGCTGAATACATTTGCAAATATTATTGGCATAAGCGCAAATTGACATATATACCGATGTTTGAAAACATAGTAGTAATTCTTTAAACAAAAAGTGGCATAAAAATTTGATCTTTTAATGATAAGTTTTGTTAATAACGAATCATTATATTCCAAAAATTAGATCTAATTGTCAAGTTGATATTTTTTCACTTAATGTTATTTTTTTAAGCTAATTTAAAGTGCTCATATAACCAAGTGGTCTGGGTATTATGAGCATTTTTGCTACTTTTTTAAAACCTCTATGCTTTTAAGAAAAAATTTCGGGTGCCCAAACATTCGTTTTGCAAATGAACAATTTTTAGCGATCTCTACTTATGATTCACATAAGTAGTGATCCCTAAAAATTGTTCATTTGCAAAATTTTTGGATCTACATTATTATTTTTGAAAATATTCCAATTTTCGCTTAAGGTGCTCATATTACCCTAATCAACCCTACACCATTCGTACTTATGCCTGTTTGTCCTTATTCAGTTGTCTTATATAAACTGATGGCAACAATGACATTGATATGACACTATATGTCTTCTTCTTGCCTTAGCCATTATATTGTATATGTACACAATCTATCTTACAGTAAATGTTATTTATAACAAGAAAAAAAAGACTAGGAAAGAAAAAATAAATAAATTGGATAAACGTATACCAAGAATATAATCAAAGACAAATAGGCCGGATGAATAAAAAAAAAGCAATTGCTTTTTTACTGACGTAAAGCTGAGCAACTACTTAACATTTTGGAGCAGTTGTTCAACTTTACATGAATAAAAATTTGAGCAAATTTGTTCAAATTTTTATTTACGTAAAGTTAAGCAATTTATTCCAAAAACGCTTAGTAATTGTTCAGCTTTAAGTGAATAAAAATGATATTTAAATATTTAAAATTTGGATTGAATACAAGTCATTATAATCTCGACGGAATACAAAAAAACTTGACATAATTTATAAGTTAATTTTAAAAATAGAAATAAAACAAATCTAACTATTTAAAACAGGATTGTCAGAACTTTCTAAATGTTAGATGCCAAAAGTTTGGTTGCTCTGCCCTGAAAAATTCCAAATTATGAAAGTTACATTTTCATGTTTTATTTCAAATTTTTATAGAA